CATAAATACTTTTTCTCAATTGATAGCCAATGAAAATAAACACGTGACCTGCCAATAAACTCCAACAAGCCAGGTCAACGACACCCACAACCTCCACACAACCACAATCTCCAGACACCCAAAAATTCCACACACCACAACCTCCACACCCACAACCTTCGAACACCTACAACCTCCACACACCCACAACCTCCATACACACACAACCTCTGCACACCCTCAACCTCCACACAGACACAACCTCCACACACGCACAAACTCAACACCCACAACCTTCATACCCACAACCTCCACACCCACAACCTCCACACGCACAACCTCCTAACCCATAACCTTCACACACACAACCTACACACCCACAACATATGCACACCCTCAACCTCCGCACCCACAACCTCCACACACCCACAACTTCCACACGAACAACATCCACACCCACAACCTCTATACCCACAACCTCCACACCCACAACCTCCACAGACCCAAAACCTCCTCAGCAACAACCTCTACACACACAACCTCCGCACACCCAGCTTCCACAAAACCAACCTCCACACACCAACAACCTCCACAACAACAACCTCCACACCCATAACATCCTCTCACCCACAACCTCCACAGCAAAAACCTTCACACGCTAAACCTCCACACCCCCGACCCCCACAAACCCAACGTCCACACCCACAACCTTAATGTCCACAACCTCACCACACCCACAGCCTCCACACCCACAACATCCGCACACCCACAACCTCCAAACCAACAACCTCCACACCCACACCTCCACACCCACAACCTCCACACCCCAAACTCCACACCCACACCTCCACACCCACAACCTCCACACCCACACCCCCACACCCACACCCCCCCCACCCCCACCCCCACACCCACACACACACATTTTTCCATGTTCCACTTCGTCCCTCCTCATATCCGCGTACAAATGTTTTTTGTGCTTCTTTTAAAGGTGAACTGGGCAGTCTCCCAAATATTCCTGTCGGCTGTTAAAATTCTGCGCCCAACTCAACTAACCCAACAAATATGAAATAAAAGATTCTGGATGAGGTCTCAACGTTTAATGCTGTACCATTTTGTTACGCGCCGTTTGATGAAAAAAAGCAACGGAATGATTCTTTCATCTTGTAGGCAATGAAGTTTTGAGGTTTAGTACACAACTGATGCATACGGGCATACAGGGAGACATACAGTGAGAAATACAGTGAGACATGCAGTGAGACATACAGTGAGACATGCAGTGAGACATACAGTGAGACATGCAGTGAGACATACAGTGAGACATAC